ACCGTGTCCAGTGATGTATACTTGCAGCCAACGACATGATGGATCTGTAAGTAGTGAAATGACAGGTGTAGAATGACTGGTGCGAGTACAAGTGATGCAATAACACCCAGACAAGGACAGCTGCTGACAGAGACTGTACATGTTCTGAACTACTAAATAAATGTTTACACCTCAAGTCAACTGTGTTTACGCCCACCAGTTGGTTGTGGACTTAACTGTGTACAGTTGTGTGTGTGCGTGTGGGACAGAGACCCCCCCACCCCCCACCCAAGTTCCTAGTGATTGCAAATGATCCTGAGTCAAAAAAAGGGACACTGACAGATGAAAACAACAGCTGACTCGACCCAAAGAGGGTCACTGCACTATATAAGCAGTCTGTATCCCGGCCTACCTTCACAGTGGCTGAGAGGCTATGCTGGTCAGGCCTCAAGAGAAGGCTGGGGCGAAACATTAGCATTCCCCACAATCCAAGGAGGCTTCCAGAATGCAAAGCCAATACAAGGTGCTCTGGTACGGGGCTCACCCAGGGAATCATCACGTCCTGCTCATGACTGTCTAATCTCACTTGCGTATACCATCTCATTCACCACTTGCTATGTCTTTAGATGCTAGCAGGAGGCAGGCCTGTATATAATTGCCAGATGTATTGTATTCATGATCTTTCTAAGCTTGGGACTCTAGCCTAGTTTCAACATGTTGGCCCCAGAGTAAACACTGTTCACTGTTACACAGGGCCAATTCACTGTTTGGATGTGACCAGGACACATGTCTTGGAGCTGAAAAGCCCACAGCTAATTCAATGTGCAAGTATGGAGTTACTATTTGCATATTTTTTTTTTTTTTCAAATCCCTTTCAAGCACTTATCATTCATTCAGAGGGTAAGTGGAGGGGGAGGTTTAGACACACACACATGCACAGAACAGACTTAATTATATGTCATGGGTGCTCATATTTGCACAGACACCCAGTCACTTCTCTTTATGACAGTGACTGGTTATCTCTCTCCTAATGGCAGTAAAAAACATTTTCAGTGTCTCCCCCCTCCTCCAGGCCATTAGACATTTTCCCAAACAACCACTCCCAATCATGTCATGGGGATCTTATATTCCAGGCCACCACAGTTTAGAAAAAACTGATAAATATCATGGGTTCCTTGTGTTCTAGGCACCATCATTTCAGAAATACCGGTCCATGTCATGCATCTTCCATGGTCTAGGTACCAAGATGTGTGAAATACAGATTAATTTCATGAGTCCCTTGTACTCAGGGCACCAAAGTTTAGGACACACTGAGAAATTTCATAGGTCCCTCATTCATTGGGCACCATAATATAGGACACACTGAGAAATTTCATGGGTCCCTTCTGCTCTGCCACATAGGCATATTATCAGAGCTAAATTTGCAATTTTATCACAATGTGAATGCTAGTTACACGGAGAATTTTAACTGCCCAGCTAACCACTAAACCTCTAAATGAACACACATATTTTTCCATGTATAAGAAAGATGGTGTAATCTTCAAATTACCTAAAAAAGGTGATTTATCCGATTGTAACAACTGGAGAGGCATCACCCTGCTTTCGATACCAGGGAAACTATTTTGTAGTATGCTACTAGAAAGATTGAAAAAATCCATAGATGAAAGATTAAGGGAAGAACAAGCCGGTTTTAGATCCAAGCGGTCATGCATAGACCACATCTTTACTCTTAGAATAATTGTTGAAGATTCTACAGAATTCCAGTCGAAATTATTGATCAACTTTGTCGACTTTCAAAAAGCCTTCGACAGTATCCATCGTCCAACACTCTGGAAATTGCTTAACATCTATGGTTTCCCCATCAAATATATCAACATCATAAAATCTTTTTATAATGAAACACGATGCTGTGTAAGAACTGATTCCGGCAATTCTGACTGGTTCCCGGTGGAAACAGGAGTGAAGCAAGGCTGTGTCCTATCGCCGATGCTTTTTGGTATAGCAATCGACTGGGTCATGCGCAAGTGCATAAATAACGCAAATTTAGGCATTACATGGGTTGACAAAATTCTGGAAGACCTAGACTTCGCTGACGACATAGCACTCCTGAGTTCAGAACACACAGACGCCCAAGAAAAAATCAATCGACTCCAGAATTTCTCAGAACAAATTGGACTCCAAATTAACACCGCAAAAACAAAAATTCTAGACCTTACCAACAGTTCAGTTGATATCACGCTGAACAACAACAGCCTTGAAAAAGTCAACAGTTTCACTTATCTAGGGAGCAAGATGTCATCTACAGGAGATACCGCACCAGAAATATCATTTAGAATAGCACTGGCATCTAGTGCCTTCAATAAACTGTCTAACATTTGGAAATCAAAGACACTTAGCAAACACACAAAACTCAAGATCTTCAATTCTTGTGTGATTCCAGTACTAACCTATGGATGCGAGAGTTGGAAATCAACGAAAACTCTAGACACAAAATTAGACAGTTTTGAAAATAAATGCCTTAGAAGAATACTAAATTTCAAATGGTCAGATTTCCGAACCAATACACAAATAAGGCAAGAATCCAGGCAAGAGTATGTGTCTAATTTTATACGAAAACGCCGCTGGAACTATGTCGGCCACGTCCTTAGAATGGATAAATCAAGACTTCCTTACCAAGCCCTCATTTGGACACCACAGGGGAAAAGATCTCGTGGAAGACCAAGGGAAACCCTACGTAGAACTATCATCAGGGAAGGCTCGCTCATGGGCCACTCAAACATCCAAGACCTACAACGGATTGCAACGGACCGCCGTGCATGGAGAGTCACGACCTCTGCCCTATGTGCCGCACTCGACACAAGAGGAAAGACTAACTAACTAACTAACTAATAAGAAGCGCCATGTAAAAGAGCACCCCTATTGTTTTAGCCTAAAAATTTAGAAATAAATATTTTCATAACATTCTGTGTATAAGACAACACTCCGTTTGTAACTTTAGAAATTTGGGAAAACACATCATCTTATACATCAGGCATGTCAAACATGCAGCTCGCATGCCCTATGTGGCCCTTTGCAGGCTCACCTACAGCACATAATACAAATATTTTGCAATAATTGTTATTAAATGAATAAAATTAGTGATTGTGTGTGGCCCTTGTATGACAACACGCATATAGGTGGGGGGGGGGGGGGGGGGGGGGGGGGGGAAGGATGTCAGATCAACATGCCTGTTATACATGGAAAAATATGCTATATCGTAGAAGAGCCAAATTTGTGCTGGGTTTCAGAAACACTTTCAGAATTTATTCGGGCCAGCAATTTCAAACAGCCAGACTTTTATGGTGGACATTCAGGAGTTACATGCACTATAAAATGGATAATGAAATGAGAACGCAAGTGGTCAACCTTGCAGAAACAATAAAACTGAGATAATCTTTCACAACTTATGCAGAAACAAAACAAACACCTAAAATAATCTTCCCTAACCTATTCAGAATTAAAACAAACAATCTAAATAATCTTCCATAACTTCGAAGCAAAACAAACAGCTGAAATAATCTGTCATTTACTCAGAAACTTAAATAACAGACAAATAATCTTTCATAACTTAACTGAGAATGAAAACAGCAAAATAATTAAGGCTTTCTGATAAAAAAACAAAACAAACCACACAAACAAAATGTACACACTAACTAGTGACATAAACTGTAAAGCAGAATTCTTTGCTAAGAAAATACAAATAAAACCCAAAACTTGTGCATGTCAAATTAAACACACTCAATTACATAATAGAGAGAGAGTCATGGTAGCGCAGTGATTAGATTCCCACCAGCCAGTCTGAAGATTTTATGTTCAAATCTGGAACGTGACAGATTTTTATAAAATTACCTTGTCCCCCAGGTAAAAAGCCTTTTCAAAATCTACGTAGACCATTTGTACATGAAAATATGATCAATGCAGGATTTCTCCTTTCTAAAACTTGCTTGCTCTTGCAATTTTACAATCAAGTGCTTGAGCCATTCTCTTAAGATAATTGTTCCAGAATTTAAGTTTTGCACGCACATCAGTTTCACAGATCAAATTTATCTGTATGCAGACTGTTGGTTCCTCATCTCTCAAGTAGATGTCCTCCGACTTCAAAGGAAACGCACTGAATTAGTTGACTTTTAGGACATGTTTGTGGGGTTATGCGGAAGGGCAGTGAGGTACTGGAACCCACAAGGGAAGATAATAGTGTGTGATATTTCTCCAGTTAATGCAGTTTCCTAAAACGTGTTTCAGGAAATATCCTGGGAAGTAAAAGATCTGATGTTAACCCCATCGCCCTAAAAGCGCTGATTGGTTTATGAAATAACGGTTTAGCACCACCAGCCCGGTGTCTCTGATGGCTTGAAAAAAGTGATTTAATTAACAGAATATAAAAATGCATACGGTGAAAATAGGACTCATTCTTGCGTCAATTTCTTCTTCTGATATATATACACAGACATCATAGTTCCACACATTTGTCACATACTTATATTTCCAAATCGACATGCACTAAAATGCTTTACACACACAGTCCTCAGATATCCATACATTAAACTGCTTTACATTCAGCCGTAGGAGGGAGAAAACGTAAAACAAAATTTGATTTTAATAAGTTAGGTGTGAAACATATTTTCTTTATATGTATAATTCTGGAAGACATACACGTGAAGAAGGAAAAAAACACTGCGAAAGATATATTTATCTTCACTGAACACAACACTTGCAAGTGAGCTTAAAATGTTCTTGCACTCTGTGACTGACACTTCCAATGAGAAGTGACAGGACAAACTGGCAGAAATGAAGCACTACCAGATAAAAATGGCAGCCAGTGTGACTGTTAATATACGTCACATGCCCTATTTTATAGAGATATTCAAAGTAGCACCACTTTATTACCAGTCGGTAATATTGATTTTCATATGTCCTGAGCCTGATTAGTAATAATACTAAGAAATTTAACAGCATAATCAAAGTTTTCCGGCATTTTCTCGTTAACTGCTCGTCCCCTGCTCTGTCACCTTATCCCAGCTCATGACAGACGAACCAAAGTCGGAGTCATCAAAGTTGAAAATGTCAAACACATCTTGCTGAGTTCGAGGTGTCAAGATAGGGTCGGCAGTGTAAGACACACTGGTGGGTGTATGCATACATTCCAAGCGGATGCTGGGGTTGGGCATAATGACGTCCAGCCATTCTGACATGTCCATCTGACTAGCTGGGTCTATGGCTTCACTGGTGTCCCCGCCCAGGTTAAAGGCAGCTAGGTCTGGCTCTGATCCATGCACCGTCATGGCACAAAACCCAAAGCTGTTTTTGTGGCTATTACCATCACTCTGACAGTGGGACCCAGGCTCACTACTGTTGCACATTGCATCCTGAACTAGTATACTTCCATATCTGGTGTCATATGAACTCTGAACTCCATTGGCATGATGACTGTCACCAGATTTTGAATCTAAATGAAGGCTGGAATCTCCCAAGTCAAGGTGCCCGAAACCAGACTCTGAAGACCAGTCCATATTGCATAGGTCAGGGGATGGCAGCATCTCCCCCCAGTCCAGCAGCTCCCCTTCATCAGAATGAGAGGTTCCATCATTCAGCATGAGGGAGGAAGAGCCACTGGTGTCATGATGGCTTGGCGGCGAGCTCTGCGTGTCATTCATCAGCGTATCAGAGTACATGTTTGTATGTATGGATGTCAGAGTCTGGTCTCTAGGGCTACAGCTACTGTTGCTCATTTGATAATGATGATGGTTGTGGTGGATGCTGTTGCTCATGCTTCTAACGCTGCTGGTGATGGTCGGCACCGCAGGTGAGGAGGGCATGGACTGACTCTGAGCAGTGACTAAGGAGGCCGACACGGACGGAGTTACTGATAAACATTGTGATGAAGTGCTGATGGCTGTATTTAAGCTGGTCGCAGGCAACTCCATGACCTGAGCCAGTTTTCCTGTAGGGAGAGCTTCAGTAGCAGCACTAGGTGGTAGATCTGCAACAACAACAAAAAAGCCAATTGAAATGATTTAATTCCTAATTGAAATTCTCAAAATGTAAACACAGCAGATGGTTCATACCTCTATTACAACCAGATTGGCACCTAAATATGGTCAATTATTATAACCAGATTGGCACCTAGATATGGTCAACTATTATAACCAGATTGGCACCTAGATATGGTCAACTATTATAACCAGATTGGCACCTAGATATGGTCAATTATTATAACCAGATTGGCACCGAGATACGGTTAACTATTACAACCAGATTGGCACCTAGATAAGGTCAACTATTACAACCAGATTGGCACTGAGATACAGTCAACTACTACAACCAGATTTACACCTAGATACAGTCAACTATTATAACCAGATTCACACTTAGATACGGTGAACTATTCCAACCAGATTCATACCTAGATAGTCAACTATTACAGCCTGATTCACACCTAGATACGGTGAACTATTTCAACCAGATTCACACCTAGATACGGTCAACTATTCCAACCAGATTCAATATTAGATAATTCAACTATTACAACCAGATTGGCACCTAAATACAGTCAACTACTACAACCAGATTTACACCTAGATACAGTCAACTATTATAACCAGATTCACACTTAGATACGGTCAACTATTCCAACCAGATTCATACCTAGATAGTCAACTATTACAATCAGATTAGCACCAAGATACAGTCAACTATTACAGCCTGATTCACACCTAGATACGGTCAACTATTCCAAGCAGATTCACAATTAGATAATTGAACTATTACAACCAGATTCGCACCTAGATACAGTCAACTGACACAGCCAGACTCACACCTACAAACAATCAACTGTGACAGCCAGACTCACACCTTCAAACAATCAACTGTCACAGCCAGACTCACACCTTCAAACAATCAACTGTGACAGCCAGACTCACACCTACAAACAATCAACTGTGACCGCCAGACTCACATCTACAAACAGTCAACTGTCACAGCCAGACTCACACCTACAAACAGTCAACTGTCACAGCCAGACTCACACCTACAAACAATCAACTGTGACAGCCAGACTCACACCTACAAACAATCAACTGTGACCGCCAGACTCACACCTACAAACAGTCAACTGTCACAGCCAGACTCACACCTACAAACAATCAACTGTGACAGCCAGACTCACACCTACAAACAATCAACTGTGACAGCCAGACTCACAACTTCAAACAATCAACTGTGACAGCCAGACTCACACCTTCAAACAATCAACTGTGACAGCCAGACTCACACCTACAAACAATCAACTGTGACCGCCAGACTCACATCTACAAACAGTCAACTGTCACAGCCAGACTCACACCTACAAACAGTCAACTGTCACAGCCAGACTCACACCTACAAACAGTCAACTGTCACAGCCAGACTCACACCTACAAACAGTCAACTGTGACAGCCAGACTCACACCTACAAACAGTCAACTGTGACAGCCAGACTCACACCTACAAACAGTCAACTGTCACAGCCAGACTCACACCTACAAACAGTCAACTGTCACAGCCAGACTCACACCTACAAACAATCAACTGTGACAGCCAGACTCACACCTACAAACAATCAACTGTGACAGCCAGACTCACACCTTCAAACAATCAACTGTGACAGCCAGACTCACACCTTCAAACAATCAACTGTGACAGCCAGACTCACACCTACAAACAATCAACTGTGACCGCCAGACTCACATCTACAAACAGTCAACTGTCACAGCCAGACTCACACCTACAAACAGTCAACTGTCACAGCCAGACTCACACCTACAAACAGTCAACTGTCACAGCCAGACTCACACCTACAAACAATCAACTGTGACCGCCAGACTCACACCTACAAACAATCAACTGTGACAGCCAGACTCACACCTTCAAACAATCAACTGTGACAGCCAGACTCACACCTAAAAACAATCAACTGTGACCGCCAGACTCACACCTACAAACAGTCAACTGTTACAGCTAGACTCACACCTTCAAACAATCAACTGTCACAGCCAGACTCACACCTACAAAAAGTCAACTGTCACAGCCAGACTCACACCTACAAACAGTCAACTGTCACAGCCAGACTCACAGCTACAAACAATCAACTGTGACAGCCAGACTCACACCTACAAACAATCAACTGTGACCGCCAAACTCACACCTACAAACAGTCAACTGTGACAGCCAGACTCACACCTACAAACAGTCAACTATCACAGCCAGACTCACACCTACAAACAGTCAACTATCACAGCCAGACTCACACCTTCAAACAATCAACTGTCACAGCCAGACTCACACCTTCAAACAATCAACTGTCACAGCCAGACTCACACCTACAAACAGTCAACTGTCACAGCCAGACTCACACCTACAAACAGTCAACTGTCACAGCCAGACTCACACCTACAAACAGTCAACTGTCACAGCCAGACTCACACCTACAAACAGTCAACTGTCACAGCCAGACTCACACCTACAAACAGTCAACTGTCACAGCCAGACTCACACCTACAAACAGTCAACTGTCACAGCCAGACCCTTTGGGAAACAGCAAACACTGGCTGTCTAACCGGCCTACCTCCATTTCTGATGAGAATTTCTAAGACATCATCCATGGTTTGTGATTTGACCCCAGTGTCTATCCGTCCAAGAGTGAGAGGCTTGTTCAAACAGCCATCACTTGAGGCTGGCACTTTACTGTTGCCACCAGAGGAATTCCCTGGCGTGATCTGTAACAATAAGGACAACAGAACTGACCAAATGGACATCTTGCGGCAATGAAAAGCAATCAGTATCACTTTGAGGTCTTGAGTTCTTTCTTCTTCACTGGCTGTAAACTCAAAAGGAAAGTTCTGGCTGTTCATCCACTTCTGGATTTTGGTCTTGTTGCAGAACTTGAGTTTTGTGTGCACACCCATTTTACTGATCTGGCTTATTTGTGTGCAGACTGTTGATTCCTCGCCTCACAGGCAGATGCCCTCTGGCTTTGAATAAAACTCCCCTTATTAGTCACTTTTTATGACATGCCTTTTAGGAGGTAGTGGGTCGATCCCAGATTTCTAAAAAAAAAAAAAAAAAAAAAAAAAAAAAGACATTTAACATTTCATTCACACCGGAACCTGGGGGGCACAATCAACTTAAGGCCCCCCACCCCCAATCATCTAGACATTAAAGAAAGAAGTATCTGTTTATACATTTCACATTATTTCAAATATATTTATTTTCCATTCAGCACACAATACACTTATTGCCTGTTTAAGCAAGCCGCCACCCACCGCCCCAGTTGTCTAAATAATGTTTAGAACCCATAATGCTGAATTAAGATCTGACATCAAAGCACACAGGACATTCCCAAAAGCGCTCCCTCCCCATCTTCAGCAGCAATAGCTGAGTTCCAATTGCAATGACACCAGCAAACAGTCTGACTGTATATCCATCTGCCTCTGCTCTGAGACTCGAGCACTGACCAGATCCCTTGGTCACTGCTAGAACCCACAGATAATACTGATCCCCTCACTATCATAGATGCTACAGCTTGTCAATCCTAGAACCCACAGATAATACTGATACCCTCACTATCATAGATGCTACAGCTTGTCACTCCTAGAACCCACAGATAATACTACCCTCACTATCATAGATGCTACAGCTTGTCAATCCTAGAACCCACAGATAATACTGATACCCTCACTATCATAGATGCTACAGCTTGTCAATCCTAGAACCCACAGATAATACTGATACCCTCACTATCATAGATGCTACAGCTTGTCACTCCTAGAACCCACAGATAATACTGATACCCTCACTATCATAGATGCTACAGCTTGTCACTCAGGAAGTGCTGGTGAGAAACACCCCAGTACTCACTATTTGGTGAATAACACCACAGTACTCACTATTTGGTGAGAAACACCACAGTACTCACTATCTGGTGAGAAACACCCCAGTACTCACTATCTGGTGAGAAACACCCCAGTACTCACTATCTGGTGAGAAACACCCCAGTACTCACTATCTGGTGAGAAACACCCCAGTACTCACTATCTGGTGAGAAACACCCCAGTACTCACTATCTGGTGAGAAACACCCCAGTACTCACTATCTGGTGAGAAACACCCCAGTACTCACTATCTGGTGAGAAAACACCCCAGTACTCACTACCTGGTGAGAAACACCCCAGTACTCACTATCTGGTGAGAAACACCCCAGTACTCACTATCTGGTGAGAAACACCCCAGTACTCACTATCTGGTGAGAAACACCCCAGTACTCACTATCTGGTGAGAAACACCCCAGTACTCACTATCTGGTGAGAAACACCCCAGTACTCACTATCTGGTGAGAAACATCCCAGTACTCACTATCTGGTGAGAAACACCCCAGTACTCACTATCTGGTGAGAAACACCCCAGTACTCACTACCTGGTGAGAAACACCCCAGTACTCACTATCTGGTGAGAAACACCCCAGTACTCACTATCTGGTGAGAAACACCCCAGTACTCACTATCTGGTGAGAAACACCCCAGTACTCACTATCTGGTGAGAAACACCCCAGTACTCACTATCTGGTGAGAAACACCCCAGTACTCACTATTTGGTGAGAAACACCCCAATACTCACTATTTGCTGCTGCTTGATCTTGATGGCTTCATCATAACGTGGCGGTTCTTTCAACGGTCCACTGAAGTAAGGATTCGGTGAAGAGCACTGGATATTTAACTTCTGTTGCTCACTGTTTACACAAGAGGATGGCAGTGACATTGTTCTGACAGAAGGAATGAAAATAATGAGGGTACAGATTTAGAATGATTAGCAATCTTGAACAAACAGTCTGTACACAGTAAAATGTACATTGCAAGCTATACAGCCTAACATATGTTGACAATGATTACCACTGTTTAACAAACAGTTTGTACCCAGTAAATTGTAAATTTTCAACAATACACATGTTGATAACAATTCACAATGTTAAACAGCTTGTGTACAGTAAAACGTATATTTACAACCACACACATGTTGATATTGATTAACACCGTTTAACACAACAGTTTGTACACAGTACATTACAAGCTAAACAACACTTAACAGTACAATGCACACAGCCTGGGCAGTATTATAGAGACCATATGTTGCCCACGCATCATGGTCCCTCCCTCGACCTGCCTTGTTTGCTCCAGAAGAAAGGTAACAACAGTTGGAATAAAGCAGGCTGTAAAAGCTGCCAGATCAGAACAGCAGTGCTCTATCTATCTTTGTGTAGGAGCTTCCTATCTACACCAGCTGCAAGCTAAGGCTAAGGGCCTGGTCTGCCCAGTCATAACATAGTTTTCAGGTTGCACGTCCTCTTCCTAGGATAAGGCTAGTATCCTCCCTGGAGATATTATCTACACTAACTACCAAGGACCTCTAAAGCGATGCTTGCCACTCTGCACTGACTTCACAAAACGACCCCAGCATTTACTGTGTGGGTTTACTAGAAAATTTCACATTGAGTAGTTTGTCACTGTTTTCTGAGCAGCCCAACACTCAAACTGATGTCAAAATATAAACAAAGCAGTCTGTTTCTAAATCCCCTGAAGCTGACTCCAAACCCTGGTATGTCGGGATTGTGAAAATACAATTACAACTCCTAAAATTCCGTGGTGGTGGGGAGGGATCTTCGAAGCCTGAGTGCATCTGCCTGAGAGGTGAGGAACCAACAGTCTGCACAAAAAATAAACCAAATCTGTAAAACAGATATGCATGCAAAACTATAGTTCTGGACCAAGAATAAAAGTCCAGAAGTGGACCAATAACCAGAGCTTTCGCCTAGAGTTTACAGCCGTGAACTCTAAGGGGGAGAGGACATCCCTAAGCTACAATTGCTGACTATCCTAATAAAGCAATATAGACTTACCTAGAGATGACCCCATTTGTGTGACCTGGTATCAGCATTGTCGAGGAAGGAGTGGCTGTGAACACACAGGAATGTCCACTGTTGACCTGAGACCTGGGTACTGCTGTGGTGGGTGGAGGACCTGCAAGTGAGAAAATCAACACTTTAAGTACACAAGCTGTCCCATACGTTTCCATACACAGGAATAATAAATGTATAATAATAAATTTTAAAAAAAAATTGTTTCAGGTGCATTAGTAGTCATTTTCACACCACTTTTGAATCGTGAATACCACCTGAAAATTTGTGCACGAGATAAACAATTATCCTCATAAGGCTGTTGCATCAATTCAACTGTTTCAATGGTCCTTTTTCTGAGTTTTAAAAAGAATATAATGTTAGCTTTTTGCTCCGTGTTGATTACGTAACAACGCACCTCCGACTAGGTCAACAAAATGGCGGCTTGTCTGTTGTCTGCTTATTGAGGGGTGATAAAAAGTTGCCATTTGTAGATGAATGTTGCCTCTTTAGATTCCATACTTTGCTTCATAGATGGCATTTTTGTCTTGGCTATAATAAAATCAGTTTCATTATTTAGTTGTTGGACCTTGTATGTTTATTTATTCAGTATTATATGAATGATTAAGAAGACAGCAACAAAATAGACAGTTGACTGTGCTAAGTTCTAAGGTTCTAATGTTGCACCTACCCATGGTCTTAGGTGTGCAAGGCTCAGACTTGATATGCTGAGTTGCCAGAATGCTGGTTGATGTTGGAGTCAGCAACAGCTGGGCAGGCAGCTGCAGAGGAGCTACGGCTGATGACTTTGTCGTGGTTGCAGCAGCGGCAGCAGCTGATGTGGTGATTGGCTGCAGCTGTTGTGGCAGCTTGACCTGTCCAGAGCTGGTCAGGTTGATATGTATGGCGTAAGGCAAGGAAACAGTTGTTTGGCCAGAGGCTACACTTGTCATCTGACCACTGGTCAGGCCGGTCATGTTTATAAGGCCGCTGTCGCTGGAGACACCACCAGCGATGCTGCCATCAGCAGCACTGATGCTGGTGCAATTATTGACTAAATTCTGGTTGGTTATCATCATTGGAGTTTGTTGCTGCTGCTGCTGCTGTTGTTGTTGCTGAGGCCGAATGTGTGCCTGCTGGATACCTGGTAGTAACATTCAAGATAAAACCTTTGGTGGTAACATTCAAGATAGAATCCTTAGTAGTAATATTCAACATAAAATCATCCTCAGTAACAGTCAACATAGAATTGTTCATAGCATTCAAGATAGAATCTAAGATAGTAACATTCAAGATAGAATCTTTGGTAGTAACATACGTCACCCACCAAATGCCGACTGTTCTATAAAAATATAGATTTAGCCCTATACACCCAATAGGCCTGAAGACGTGGAGAGGGGTCCTATTTGTAACATTCAAGACAGAATCTTCAATGGTAACATTCAAGACAGAATCTTCTATGGTAACATTCAAAATATAACCCACATTTCCAAAATCAATTTGGTGATCATGGTGGCCTGGAAAAAATGAGGATGAAGGGCACAGTTTCGAGAAAACAAGACACAGGCAGACCTCCACGAAACGTGGATAGCAGACATTGGAGACAAAAGTACAGAGGGCTGAAGAAATGGCTATAGAAGCACAAAGGGCTGAAGAAATAGCTACAAAAGCACAGAGGGCTGAATAGCTACAAAAGCACAGAGGGCTGAATAAATGGCTACAAAAGCACAGAGGGCTGAATAAATAGCTACAAAAGCACAGAGGGCTGAATAAATGGCTACAAAAGCACAGAGGGCTGAATAAATGGCTACAAAAGCACAGGGGGCTGAAGAAATGGCTACAAAAGCACACGGGGCTGAAGTAATAGCTACAAAAGCACAGGGGGCTAAATAGCTACAAAAGCACAGCGGGCTGAAGAAATAGCTACAGAAAGAGAGACTTTCAGGCATGGCCATGACGAGGTTGATATTTTGTAGAGGACCTGTTGATTAAAGATCATGATACTCCCAGCTGTCACAACAGCTGCTGTAGTACAGTGACTGAGTGTGCTTGTCTGCAGCGGTAGGTATATTGTTTCCAATCAGTTCGGACCTAGGGTCAACCAAACCTCAAAACAATGGATGCTTGGCATTCATCAGAATTTTCTAGAAATTGGGAAGGAAAACTGGCTTTTTAGCCACACCAACGTGCATGTCAGGACCTAAAACAGGTCTATTCCAACTAAGTTTACTCTATAGCCCCAAATGTCCTCTAGCATGGGAAGACAATTAATGGAATACAACTGGCAGGGATCGCAGGACACTTCAGAAGATAGCAACAGGCGGTATGTGCTCTGAATGTGTAGAAAGCATTCAAAAATCGCACTTAACCTTCCTCACCTGGATCTACACACCTGGTCATGTGGGCGTAAAGGGAAATGAGCGAGCAGACAAGTGGCAAGCATTGCACTAAGGCATGTGGGAAGAAGCATAGACAGGGCAGATATCATCAACGCTGTACGGACGGGTAATGGATAATGAGGAATCCCTGAATCTAATAGGATTGCGTGACATGGCAGTTAAGCATGGTGAAGCAGGTCTATGCCATCTTCGAGGCCAAGATAGGAGACAATATAACCAGCTTCTCATCGGAACAATTAGTAGAAGTACTTTGGGGTGGCTGCTGCATCGGAGGACTGAGCACGCATGGGACTGCCCAATGTGCAGTGACATCGATTGTGATAACATAACATAGCAGGACACTTGCTGGGCTCCGCAGGCCAGATCTGGGCCACAGACCGCCAGCTTAATAGCCCTGGGTGAAGCAATGTTTACTGCACTCGCCTGTAGTAGGCGCACCACCTAATCACTCATCCCCTTAGCTGGCAGGAACCAACACCACCCTTCTCCCCAGACTTGCAACAGCACAAACTCTGGAGCTCCGGCAACAAATCCAAGATATATATAAAAAAACAAAAACAACAACTCTGCACTCCCAAATAGAATGAAATCATACCTGCACACTTCAGAACATGAGGCTGATGGTTTAACCACTTCACTCCTTTTTCCTCATGCATAATACAAGTCATACTTCTTCTTCTGCTTTCACTCTCACAAGGACAGTTGGCACGTTTTGTAGTAGTTTACAGCTAGGCTGTGATACCTGTACCACTTGGTCCAACACATCCGATTTCAGAAATGTCACATTAGTCGCCTCTTATGATAAGCTGGTTGGGGGCAGTTATTTCTTCTTCTTCATGTTCACCAGCTGTAAACTCTGGTGAACAGTTGTGGTTGTTCATCCACTTCTGGACTTTAGCCTTGTTCCAGAGTTCCAGAACATTTTCAGATCTGGCTTATTTGTACGCAGACTGCTGGTTCTCATATCAGGCAGATGCACTCCAACTGGAGGAAACAGCTTTGTCAGCTTTTACAACATGCTTGTTCGGGGCAAAAGGAAACACCCCTAATTTGTCAGCTTTTACAACATGCTTGTTCGGGGCAAAAGGAAACACCCCTAATTTGTCAGCTTTTACAATATGCTTGTTTGGAGCAAAAGGAAACACCCCTAATTTGTCAGCTTTTACAACATGCTTGTTTGGGGCAAAAGGAAACACCCCTAATTTGTCAGCTTTTACAATATGCTTGTTTGGAGCAAAAGGAAACACCCCTAATTTGTCAGCTTTTACAACATGCTTGTCTGGGGTAGTGGGTCTATTGAATCTTCCCCACCACCTCAACACAATGGGGCCCTAGCATCTTGGTGGAGATTGCCAGTTCCAAAAAAGCTTACCTGAGACAACTTGTGTAGTCTGCTGGTTGGTGTGAGCATTCAAGAACACTGATGCCGTCTGCTGCTGCTGCTGCACCATGGAAGCTGCTGACTGCAGCATTACCTGAGTAGACTGCTGTTGTTGTTGCTGCTGTAGCTGCAGCGGGGTCACCACCTGACCATTCTGTGAGGTAATGGTTAGCTGGTCTTGCGACAGTTTGGTCAGCAGGGAGTTCTGTCAAGAAGAAAGAGAAATAAATATGCATCTGGTGTTGTCTTCTTAGGGAGACCAAGGTTTGAATGTGAGGCCCTAGATTTTTTTTTCCAACACACAAACCCTAACCTGCACAGACTGTGGTGACAGCACTACCCATGCGTCCCTTAATCCTCCGGCTCAAAGACCCCTCCCCCCCTCCACTGCAGTTCTGGTAAATACAGGCAGTAATTGGCAGCTTGACTACTTTCTTATTCTAGGAAGTGCGACTTGAAATCTGTATGCTATGGCAAAGCAGACCAGGCTCTAAACCTTGGTTCTGATCTAGGAGAGAAGCTGGTTCCAAAAGATGGGGAAGGAGAAGAAGAAGAACCACTCACTACTCTTCTGATGCAACAGTGTCTACAATATGCTCTGTTCCAAAGATACTGGTGCTGTCTTTGTTTTGGAGTAAACAAGGCAGGTCAAGAGAGGGATCATGCTGCATGGGCAACATATGTTCTCTACAATATGCTCTGTTCCAAAGATACTGGTGCTGTCTTTGTTTTGGAGTAAACAAGGCAGGTCAAGAGAGGGATCATGCTGCATGGGCAACATATGTTCTCTAAAATACTGCCCAGGCTTTGTGCTAGGGGAGGAGGACATTGATACCCTGCTTTTGTTAGTACCAAGAGACAGACAGAAAGATACACTGAGAGAGAGAGAGAGAAAGAAAGAGAGAGAGAGATAAGGGGGGGGGGGGAAGTACTTATGCCAAGGTAGAGATTTAGAACGTCAGGCAGAAGTGCACAGAGACTGGCACAGGTCGGAGAGAGAGAGAGAGAGAGAGAGAGAGAGAGAGAGAGAGAGAGAGAGAGAGAGAGAGAGAGAGAGAGAGAGAGAGAGAGAGAGAGAGAGAGAGAGAGAGAGAGAGAGAGAAAGAGAGAGAGAGAGATAGAGCAATTAACATCTCAGAATGTAAAAACATAATGTTTCAATGATCACGACAGAAGAAAACAAACTGAGAAGATGAGAACAACGCTGAACCAACACCACAGCTGATCTCATCAAACACCAACATCCCACTGTATGGTGGTGAAGGAAATGAACACACAAAAACTGGCTGCCAACACAAAATAGAAACTCAGCTGGATCTACTAGTTTTGTTTCCAGAGGCACTTATCATCTCATCTGGAAAGCAGCGGAAAGTGAAAACAATAGTACAGAACATCAAACTTAATTAACTTCGACATGCTGATGCACAGCCTCAGACTGTTTGATGTTAAGATAGACATATCATTAAACAGGAAGAAATCACGCAGCCTGACATACATACACCACGTCATAACCAAGATCCAGACCAACATTATCACACAATCAGAAGATGCTATTATTACTTCAAGGACACAGTGAACAATAATCCAGTTTTCCAGCAGATTCTATTTTGCAGATGTTTTTACATCATCCCAACTGGTTGTGCAGAAAACCCAGGTTCAAATTCACAGTAAGTTTCTGCGTTTTTTTCTCCCTTTCCCTCTGCACAAAAAAATCCTAACAGGCATAGTCCAGGGCAACAGTACTAGCCAGGCAGCCATTAATCCTCAAGTGCTAAAAAAAAAAAGTAAAGATCCCTTTTCATGCCTTAGGCGCATCAGGCATATGGGAAAGAGCACCCATAATTTTACAGGCCAATCGGCGTTAGGTGGATAATGTGGTCAGCATTATGCTGGCCGCTTCGTAAACGTCTACTTTTCAATAAGGCGAAATTTATTCACAAAATGTTATCTCAAAAGGCTCCATGTTACTTATAGTCGTTGTTTAAATATAATGGAAGACATAGTAAGCGCCTAAACATATTACACATCCATAAACCTAGGATAGGCCTTTACAAAACAAGTTTGGCATATTCCGCAGCTCAATTGTGGAACTATCTGCCACAGCAAATCAAATATGTTAGAAATAACACACATTTTCCCTAGATTTGTTACAACTACTATGGTTTACTGTAGTTAGAAATGTGCACTTTCCAGTGCTTGTATTGATTATTTGATGCTATTGCAATATTACTTGATGTATGAATGAAATAATGTAAGAACGGAGGAAGACCTCGAATGGCAGAATGGCAGACAGGCCCGCGTGCCCAATTCTTAACCCTTCAAAAATAAAGTTTGTTCATTCGTTTGTTCGTTCGTA